GCGGCTGCGCCGCCTCGCCTCGCCCTGTTGTTGCGGTAAAGTTGTCGAAAATAAAACGTAATTTCCGAAGGGCGCTTAAAGAGCTACCCGCCGATGTTGAAGCTATGTCTCTAATTGTACTTCGTTTAATACAATAGGGGTCATATTTTCGGATGCCGAAACCGAAGCGTTTCTCTCTATGTCCCTTATTGTATTCCTTTTGATACAATAGGAATACGTCACTTTGCTTCCTGAAAAATAGAAGATAACCAATGATGTAGTGAGTTGGTGCTGGACGCTGGCCTACAGCACTGAGGTGAGAGTTCCTGGTGCAAATCACTGCCCCGACACCGCAAGGAATATTGAAAAAAGTGATTTAATTATAACCGATCCCGGTAATGGGTTGTCGAGGAAAACGATAGTTGGTGGAAATCAATTCCGTAGGTTGAGACCTTTCATTAGAGTACCATGAAGAATAATCCAGTGCCCCCCCCCTCAATTTTGAGTATTTTAACCCCCCGGCACTCACTGATCTCGAAAATGTTTCAGAAATGTTTCCGGAAATTATCAAAAATGTGATAGAAATTCGTGGCTAACTATATCCTTGGGTTATGCACATACGGATGCTGACGTCACGGTGTTGGAAATGGCTGTGTTACTTAACTTGATTTGCTTGAAGAGTCGGGGTTTTATTTTTTGAAGAGCCGACGTAGGCTTTGGGTATCAGGATTACAGCCTAAAAACGAATGTGCGACTTTAAGGTTCAATTTTGTGTTCCATAAATACGGGATTAAGTTTTGGGAACATATTTCTTGTGCTCGGGCGCCAATTTTGTCTGCATGTTGTAGTTACAAATTCATCAATCAAATTCAAGGTTATTTGGGCGACTATAGCTCAATATTGAGCTCTATAAATACGAATGGGATGTGTTTCAGTAACATTGTTCGTGGTCAGGCACAAATTGTGCTTCGTATTGCGTTAAAGAATTAATTTAGGAGTTCTCAAAAATTTAATTTTGTGCTCAATAATGATCAAACTAAGCTTTCGGATATGATCCATAGAGATTGATTGTGCTCAGGCACAAATTGTGCTTGGTATTACACTCACGATGATTATGAATTTATTTTGCGCCATTAAAATTGAATTTTGCGCTTAATAACTATAAAACTAAGCATGAAATGTTCTAAATTTAATTTCTTGTGCTTTGACGCATATTGTGCTTCGGAATTGCATGTACATGGTCGTATATTGTGCTTCGCGTTGGACTTGAGATCCATTTATGCTACATCTCAATTTTGCGCCCAATAATTAGTAAAACTAGAAGCTTTCGTAAATGTTCCCCTCATTCTCCAATTGTGCCTAGTGTTGCACTCCAATACTATTACGCATTAACTAAGGGTGGGTAATGGAAAATTGCGAAGCGCACTGCTTTCATTTCCTATTAGATTTCAACGTGGCGCATAAATTTGAGGCATATTCCTCTCGATCAGATCTCCTTACTTTGCAGCTAAAAAAATTGTCTCGAACTGTGTGCGTTTTTCCCACCTAAGCGGATTTTCCAGCCACACGGCCGGATTTCGTTGGCGTCTTAAAATGCATCGTGTAATTACAAGCGCTTCCTGTTGTCATACTGTCTATAAACAAAGGCATGATTACACTGATCTCGTCGCCGTAAATGTATCCCTTCAAAGTTTAACAACCGAAGATACATCTCTCTTTAAAAATGGGCGGTGCACTCGCCGCGGTGACCAATAGTCCGCCGACGATAACGCAGGAGCACAACTGTATCGAAGGTACAGGTAGTCGTTTTCCGAATTTCGTTTGGCATTTGAGGGACGATGCTTCAATTTAATCATTTTTTGATCATCAAAATAATTTTTACAAATCATTGTTCAAATACATCTCTGGATTACTCACTGGAACGCCAGGGGGTCTGTGGTTAGGCACCGCCCATTTCACTATGGCGGCGCGACACCCGCCAATGGGCCGTTGGTAGGGAAGCTGGCGTGACGCGTAGCTCCACCTACCCGAACGTTTATGTAGGGTCAATGGTTTTTGTTGTTTCATTGCTGGGTTACTATTCCACCGTATACTTGGCATCGGTAGAAACAGACGCGTGCATTATTTTGCTGTGGAGTGTGGAATAAATAGCCTTTGAATAGATTCCCCCTACCATATTCGACGGTAATATAATTTTTTTTCAATGCATTGTCGGTAAAAATATATCCCTTTTCGAGGGGGAGAATAATGGTCGGCCCCCCGTCCCTCTTAGCGCACGCTTTTTCAAGGACATGCCAAATTATGTAGGTCGCAAAAAGTAAACAGCCAAAACCTCTTCTTTCTTTCCTATTCTGTGCAACTGCAGTCGTTTTACGTAATTTATTAATCGATGCACGTGTGGCCGTTGAACTCGCGTACCGTTTCAGTAGAGGTGCAGCCGAAAATGACAAAATGTCCACTTTATTGTCTCAAGTTCAAGGTTGGCTCTTTTCCATATTGCATTCTAAAATACAAATAAGGAAACGAACGGTATCTCGCGGTACCAGTTTCCATATACCGAGTCGCACACGCAAGAGGAGAGTTACAACATAACCTCAACATTTTTCGCATTTCGCGCAAAAAGGGAAAAACTCGTTATGGGGCTAGACGTGCCGTGATTTTTACAAAAGCGTAGGTAGGTAGAGAATGGCCGTGTAAACCGCTTTGTGTCCAGTTGCAGCAGGTGTGTGTCGACGCATTCAGCAAATCTTTACGCTTCACTTAAAGACTGGGTCGCCTTTTCTGTGTTAGTAGTAATGAAGTGAAATTTTAAATCGCGCGTTATTGGGTTAAGGCGAAATTCGAACGTTCAGATTTTGATCGCGCTGTATCTAAATCTACACTGCGATCAATAGACGTGGAATAGGTATTATTCGACTTAAATTTTTATCACGTCTTGCTTCATTCAAAACCTTATTTTTCATGTTTGTGTAGCTCCATCTTTTGCCAAACTAGGAAACTGTATTGGTCTATCTACGAGTATGTGTTGCACGTCTTGAATTTTGGTAGTATTACAGCAGCGTCCCTATTGAAACTTTGTGCAACGCCATCTTTGATACATTTCTGATACGTCGACAGGAAAACAAAATGCCATGATCGCAACCAGTCGCGTTTTTGGATGCTAGAGGTCGTACGCTATAAAAACGGATCCGTCAATCATTCAAAATTACCTCCCGCATGTCGGTTTCTGTTTCTCACGTTTTAAATAGGGATTGTATACGCCCAGTAGGCGTGAAGTAAACATAAGTCCATCTCCGACGGGTCCACGCGGAGGTCTATAGAGGAGGTTTTTCAATGGGAACGTCGGAAAGTCGCTGCTTTCAGTCTATACACGCATTGAATCTATTACTATAGATACTTTTAGAGGTATTTTTTTAATATCTGTGCCTGTTCGAGACCCTAACTCCTTGCACAAGTTTCAAAATATGTATTTCGTGTTTTTTTACGTAGATAAAAGTTCCTATTGTTCACATTTTTCCGGACTCGTAAACAAAAGACGGTAACTTTTGACATTTTCCTTAGGTCCATGAAGTTAGCAACGTGACGTCATCACCGGGATGCGTATAATCAAAGAGGACTTTCCCAAAAACGATACAAAAAAATGAACGTATGATTTGTAGCTATCCGCTGACCGCGTCCATTTTGTTGAAATTTTAACCACAGAGGCTTCTACTAAAGGCACATATATCACATATCGTGAAAGTGAGATATACGCATGCGGAAATTGCGCAATGTCAACTTTCGTATTTATGGAGATATTTCTTTGAAATTTTAACTAAAGATCTGTAATGATCTTAGCCTCCTACTATCTTGGCGGGTTAACGCCAACTTCAGGTCACACCGCAATATTTGATCATATTCTGTAGTAGCGGGCATGCCAAACTAACATGGCTGTCTATTTGAATATTCTCGCTTAAGTTTCCCGCGAGAATCTGTCACTCGGGGGCCACTCCGACTGCACTAAGATTGTGATCGTCATGTAGGACTCCTACGTTGTGTAATAACTGGGTTCTCAGCAGGCACTGAGGGCGTTTTATGGGTACGGAACACCAAAAGCAATAGCTGATTAAGATTATATTGAAGCTAATACCAATACGGCGCCCCTGCAGAGGGTCTTAAGTGGTTCTATACTACTCCGGCATTTACCTTACGAATTAGGAAAACTGCAGGAAAACCTAATTCGGAGTAGCCCTATAATGAACAAAGCCTACAGCTAACATCTAATGTACAGCACTTTTGAGCCTTCTCGAAACCGGGGTAAATACTACCTACACGCTATGAGTAACCAAAATGGAATCGAGCCATTCCCCAGGTATTACAACACATACATCAGGCAAAACTAAGAGATATTAAATATACCTCGCCGGGCGGGAGGATTACCTAGGCCCAGTGGGGTGCCTGTAGACGTGGGCTAAAGTTGTTGGGTTTCGGAACGAGTGAAAATGTTAGTAATAGGTTCACCAAACTTGAATAACTCGATCCCCTCTAAACAAGCACACTTCCCTCTTGATTACTCACAGCCCCAAATAAGCAAATGGCAAACATATGTGGTTTTCCGAGAAATTCCATCCGTCTCATCTTCGCTCTCTTTCCCTTTCCAGTAATACCACCAGATTTCGGTTGGCAGCTTGTGTAACAAACATGATGTATAAGGTGCTTCGTATCGACAATCATATTCACAGGATGTTGTTAAGGTTGGGGTATCTCAGATGCTTTTAGGAAAGGAAAATCTTTATTATTCACATTCCTAATTTCAAGAAAGGAGCCTTAATTGCCAAAACAATTTACTTCATTTTTGTTTTGCCATCTACCTATCAGATGTCTAGTTTATTCCAGATGCTGTCATGGGTATAGTTGATTTTATTTTGTTTTTTTTCCACTGCCACCCTCATTCCTGACATTTTTGCTTCGTGTAAAGCTTCAAAAATTCTTATTTATTGTATTTTGATTGTCAGAGTATACTAACGTCTTTGTTTTTTCAGGCCTAACCACTCCCAGCAGTCAGATTTGTACAAGCCGTCGAGATCACCTTTAACAAATGCAGCTCGTTACCCCTATCCCGTTTCGCCGCAACTCCAGACGACGGTCACGCAGGTATCGAACCAGCGATACAATGTCCCTCCGACGCCGTCGTTTCCGCCCGGAGGATACAGGGATTACCGCCAGCCTCGGATCTCGCTTCTTCACCCCGAGTACAGCACGAGGGCGAGGGAGCAAATGCAGGGCGGCGGATCTCTCATGCACCACATGGACTCGATGTCCAATCAGGGCCAGCAGCCCTTCAAAAAGATGCGTCTACAAGATCAGAAGGATATGCAACCGCTGCGCATAGACACGAGGGTTTGTTCCCTAACCTCAAATCGACGATCTAACCTAACGTTTCGCGTTTCAGGAACAGTCGGGCGCCTACAATCCGCAAGTCGAGGCGATTTCGCCGACGTTTCCCGACCACGTACAGCAGGAGGATCAGGCGTTTCGCAGCACGAAGGACGAGCTGCTCCAGCAGATTGGCAAGGTCGACCGTGAGATAGCGAAGGCGGAAGCGCAGATCAGCATATTGAAGAAGAAGCAGCAGGAACTGGAGGAGCTCGCCTTAAAACCATCGCAAAAGCAGGAGCCGCAGGAGGACACGCAACCGAAGCACCAGAGCCTCGCGCAGAAGATCTACGCGGAGAACAGGAAGCGCGCGCAGAACGCCCACGCGAAACTAGAACCCCTAGGTCCGAAATTAGAATTTCCTTTATACAATCAGCCCTCCGACTCGTCGATGTACCAGGAGAACTGGCGGAAGCACGTCTCGTTCAAAAAACGCTTATTAGAATATTTTAAGAAGAGGCACACGGAGAAGGAGTCGAGAAATTCGTACCTGACCGAGACCTACAGCAAACTAATGCAGGAGTGGCTGAGGAAGGTCGATAAGATCGAGTCCGGTGTTAAGAGGAAAGCGAAGGAGGCGAAGAATAGGGATTTCTTCGAGAAGGTTTTCCCGGAACTTAGGAAGCAGCGCGAGGACAAGGAAAGGTGGGTAATAATGGAGCGAGACGCTCGTCGTTGAATAAATTAGCGAGACTCATGTTCTTTGTTTTTACATTGGGTCTGTTTCCATTGTTATTAACAAAATATGAATTTTTTCCAATTTTTAGCAACACTTTGAAAGTAGGATCACACAAGCTATTGTTTAATGTACCCCCGATATCGCCATGTTTCCGAAATCCTATTTTTTTCTAATTTCCATTCCAAAAACATTCAAGGAGGATCGTTCAAATTTATATCTGCTTCTTTGTTTTTTTGTATTAACGCAATATCGCCATGTTCTCAAGCTATACGCTTTTTGCTGATTTCCTTATTTTAAGGGTAATAAAGGTTTGAATTGCCAAATATACATGGTCACTATTAAAAGTGGAACCAAAACTTTCACACTCAAACCATCCGAGATATTCGCAATTCAGATTCTCAGTGAGACCTCTGGTGGCACACATTAATACAGCTGGGAGAGGACCGCCATTTTGTTTATTTATAATGGCCAAAAGTAATCGATATTGGAGAAAAAATTTCATTTGCAATCAGTGTAATTACACCTTAAAGTGGAAGGGCAGTTTAAAACGTCACATTTTATCACGGTACTTTCAAAAGTTTTAAATGTAACCAGTGCATTCATGCAACAAACAACAAGGATAATTTAAGAAATCGTCTTAACGCATCATATTTTCAAAGTTTTTAATTGCGAACAGTGCAATTACACAACAAAAAATAAGAGATATATACTCATTCTTTGACCTGCTCCGCTTTCAATAAGCTCACGCTACAAGTAATAGCGTTCGCTTAATGCATCACCTATTAACAATACAACCTTCTCAAAAATTTGATTTGTGATCAGTGTAACTGTGCCATTTATTAAAGTACGACATCCAAAAATGCTTATTGTTTATTTTGTGGTCGGTGTAATTATCCCATGAATAGTAAGGTTGTTTTAAAGCATAATCGATGTAAGGGCATGTTGGCGATTTGTTGTGTAGTTGTCCGAGTGCTATAAATTCGAGTTCTTAAGAAGGTCTTTCAGGTAGGATGGAAATAAGGCGTTATATTTTCAAGCCTCAAAAATTGCAGGATATACTTGACTTTAAGATTAGTACAAATTTGCCATTTGTAAATTACACCAGCGCCTCTAGTGTCTGAATCGCGAATAGACATGAAAATTATAACGCGTCAATTTGAAATTATTCCACATATTTTGAGGTTAAAAAATTTTAGTTGACACATTGATTTATGAGTGCAACCGCCATCTTGAATTTTTTTAAATGTCAACATAGGTCATGTGAGCCATCATTAGAAATTATTTTTTCTCTTTCTCCCTACCTACATACGTGTGTATACAAAGTGAGGAATAAATCTTAATTTTGTGAAATATTTTAACATAATTGTTTCTCCGTTATTGCCTAGTTTAACACCATTCCTCATTAAGGTAGTAAGAAAAACAAAACAAAAGCTTCCTTATGACATGCCCTCTGTTGCCATTTAAAAAAATTCAAGACGGCGCGGCGGTCGCACTGAAAAAGGCAAAATTTGTTTAATCTCAAAATATGTAAAATAATGTCAAATGGAAGTATTCCAATTTTCATTTCTATATCTCAAACGGTTTGAGTGTGAGAAGCTTTGGTTCCATCTTTAATAGTGATCCTGTATAAATTTAATATCAATTCAAAATGGAATCCGGTGCCGCCATTTTACAAACCTTCGTAGAAACATTTCCCAGATTCAGTTACAGAACGATTTAGGAGTCTATATCTTAATTTAATCGGAAAGTCGTGCCGTGAGCTTTCTTAGAAAATTGTAATAGAAATCTTTTGTTAGGAACTTGGTTGGAAACCTTCTCGATATGATTTTTGAATTCCTTTTGGAAATATTTTTAGAAAGATCCTACCACGAGGTCTTCGCTGAAACTTTTGAGAAAATTTGATGTTGCTAACATAACTCTGGTCACCAGTGGCGTGCTGTATTTCAGTGGCGTATTAAACTTACTTTTTTTGTGTAACATTTTTAAAATTTCAAATCCCCCCTCCATATAAAAAAATTACATTTTTGTTACCTGAAAAACACGTAAACACGTTATTGTTTTGTTTTTTAATTACAGATTTGGATTCATTAGACAAAAATACTTAACCGCTAACGCGTTTTAGTTGCTCTGGAAAAAAACTCGATAAACGGTAAAAATTTTAGGGAGAAAAGGTTATAAACAGCAAAATCGATAAACTTAAGGGTATATGTTACATAAAAAATAAGTACTTTCCAATTCTTCAATAAAATATGGGGTGTTCCATTAAAAAAAAAAGAAAGTTTGATACGCCACTGGATTACAGCAGGCCACTGGTGACCAGAATATTTTAAAAACATTTTCGATATCTTTTATGGTAAAGGAATTATGATGATGAGGGGTTTTGGATGCTACACCCTGTATACTTGCTCGCGCATTTGTTTTGCAAGCTACTTTTTTGCTGATTTTAAATTTTGACAAAATGTTCACGTTCAACAAGGACAAACTGCTATAATTTTTTCGTTCAGAATCATCCCCTGAAGTTTGACGCACTTCACTAACACCCTGTATTTATAAGCGAGTTCTGGTGGGATGATGTATCGCACGCACTTGCTATAATTGTCATGTTTACCATTAATAATTTATTTGTTTATTTGTCATAATAATAATAAACAAACAATGCTACTATCATTGTATATTTATTTATACAATGCTACTACGGTAACGCATTGAGGCGAGCAACTACTGATTTTCATTTGGGATGTGATTCATTGGGGATTTACGATAATCACCATAGAAACAATTGTGGCAATAATTGTAACCATAGTACAATCTACCAACCTGGTTTAACTGGTTGAATTATCGTAAATCCCCATTATGGCTCGCATCCGCCCACGCTTTCCCGTATAAAAAGCATTATGCGGGTCACTCTGTAATTGGGCGCAAGCCTGTTGAAGGCCCAGAACAAGAGAGTGATAATAAATAAATATATAATTTGCAAAATGTCTTTGTTGTTAAAAGATCAAATGGCATAAGTTCAAGCGTCTTTATCTCCACATGTACAGTTAATAACTCCCATCCTGCAAACGTCTAAATATTTTTGTGGAGGACGAATTTAGTGATGATTTTGATTTACCGTTTACCCATCCAAGTATGGAGATAATGCACTTGCACTTATCGCACTTTATCTCAATATGGCGTCGCATTATGTGGAATATTTGAATTTTTAAAGGGATGGTCGAAATTTCGTACTAGGCGGTTTTGGGATCGCCGATTATGAATCCGATGTTAGAATTTCAAAATTCAAAATGGCGTATTCAATATGGCGTCGTATTATGAGAAAAATTTGAATTTTTAAGATCATTTGCAATTTCGTACTGGGCGGACTTCGGGGTCACTGATTATGAATCCAATGTCAGAATTTAAAAATTCAAAATGTCGGACTCAATATGGCGTCGTATTATGTGAAAAATTTGAATTTTTAAGATCATTTGCAATTTCGTACTAGGCGGTTTCGAGGTCGATGAATTGGTTGTCAGAATTTCAAAATTCAAAATGGCGGACTTAATATGGCGTCGTATTATGTGAAAAATTTGAATTTTTAAGATCATTACAATTTCGTACTAGGCGGACTTCGGGATCGCCGATTATGAATCCGATGTCAGAATTGCAAAATTCAAAATGGCGGACTCCATATGGCGTCGTATTATGTAAAAAATTTGAATTTTTAAGATCATTTGCAATTTCGTACTGGGTGGACCTTGGGGTCGCCGATTGTGAATCCGATGTCAGAATTGCAAAATTCAAAATGGCGGACTCCATATGGCGTCGTATATTATGCGAAAAATTTAAATTTTCTGAAAAATTATTGGCAATTTCGCACTAGGCGGTTTTCGGGGTCGATGAATTCGTTGTCAGAATTACAATATTCAATATGGCGGCGTTAAATTTGATTTTTTAGAGAAACTTTCGTTTTGGATGGGATTCGCTTGCATAGGGTTCTATGGATATTGGGTGGATTTTTAACGATAAGGTATTTAAATGACAGACTAGGAACAGAAAATGAAAGGAAGCTCTGTTCAATGTGCAATCTGAGAGAGAGGGAGGTACCCTACATTTTTTAGGGAGGTGTCCTTTTCTTTGCGGCATTAGGAAAAACTGGTTTGGGGGAGGGAGTAAGGAAACTTGTATGTAATTTTAAAGAGTCTTTGGGGATTCTGTTACCATCTCATTGCACATCAGTAAATTATATTAGCGGTACATTTATTTATTTATTATAGAAGGTGATTACAAAAGGACTTTACAACTTGCCTTATATATACAAGTTTATTAAGAAGACTTGTACATGTGATTGAGGTGTCATTTTGTAGCAAAATAGTTTCATTCACGTATTGTCTTAGTATCGAATTCCGCCACTAGGAATGACAGTAACAACAACGCATTCACATGCGTGCACAAAGCTCAAATTGTGTGGGGAATGTGACAGTGATTTTGTAAAAATAAAAATAATTACCGTTCTCAGCACTCATGATAATTTTTGAGAGAAGGGAGGATAGAAGAATCCTTTTCGAAAATTGTTATAGCTGATAGCTGTAAATATTTTGGGGGAAAATATAACACCGGGGGTCTGATGGGTATAGAATGGCACAATTTCTTTATCTGAAATTTTGACTATCAAATTTCCCAAGGCACATCTGGCATTTGCTATTACGAAAACTTGATGAGAACTTAAATTTTATTAATTCGGGAAACTTTTTCAGCTCTGATCCCCTGCCCCCCCCCCTCTCCCCCTCACACACACACAAGTTTCAAGGAATTATGTAACAAATTTTTTCAATTACCATCTTCTAATGTAACCTGGGCGAATAGCAAAATGTATCTTAAGAACTTTTATATCCTAGGTCGTAATTTGGGGTCAATTAAACACACAGTGATCATTTACAAGCAACACATATTTATTTGATAAATACCAATAACAGCTGTAAGAAAGAAAGGCACTCGGGGTCTGCAGACAATATACCACACACAAGCGATCGATTGAAAAAACATATTAAAGGTAAAAGAAAATTCTAATATAATAATTCTTTGTTTCTCTATTACCCCTATCACTCACATAGTAGGAAAAGGTTAGCAAATCTCCTCATAATTATAATACATGGTGTGGGGCATTCCATACCCTCACCCCCCCCTAGTGTCATGATTTCTAACAAAAATGCCGAGCTTCAACATTGAACAGTGGAATTTTTTCTTGAGGGGTCTTTCATAACACTTTTAGTGACGAACGTAGTACCGGGGGGTCTGGGGGTTATAGTATAGGGGAAAGGTTAGCAAATCTCCGCATATAATACATGCTGGGGGGTATTCCATATCCCCCAGCCCTTGATGTTACGATTTCTAACTAAAATGCTGAATTTAAACATTCTTATGATAGTTTTTGGGATTGAATAGTGGAATTCTTTCTTGAGGGGTGTTTCATAACACTTTCAGTGAAGAACGTAGTACGGAGGAGGGGGGGGTTATCGTATAAGGGACAAGGTAAGCTAATCTCCGCATATAATACATGCTGGGGGGCATTCCACACCTTAATTCTAATATAATAATTCTTTCCTTCTGTATTACCCCTATCACTCTCATAGTAGGAAAAGGTTAGCAATTCTCCGCATATAATACATGCGAGGCCGGGGGGGGGGGGGGGGGGGGGTATGCCCCCCCCTCAAAGCACTGACGTTATGATTTCTAAACTAAAATGCTGCAATTTCAACACTTATGGTCGTAGTATCGTACCGGGTACGGGGGGGGGGGGGTATAGTGTAGGAGAAAAGGTTAGAAAATCTCCGCATATAATACACGCGGGGGGGGGGTATGGATAGCCCCCAGCCCCTACTGTTACTATTTCTAACTAAAATGCTGCAATTTCAACACTCTTACGATAGTTTTTGGGATTGAACAGTGGAATTCTTTCTTGAGGGGCGATTCATAACACTTTCAGTGGTGAATGTAGTACCGGGGGGGTCTGAGGGGTATAGTTAGGGAAAAGGTTAGCAAATCTCCGCATATGATACATGCTGGGGGAATGTAGCACTGGCCCCCCCCCCTCCCCCCCGCCGAGTATTCTCGGCAAACGGGGACTCCATAATTCTTTCTCTATTGCCCCTATTACTGTCATAGTAAGAAAAGGTTATGGAACTGGGGGAATGTAGCCCTGGCCCCCCCCCCTCCCCCCCGCCGAGTATTCTCGGCAAACGGGGACTCCATAATTCTTTCTCTATTGCCCCTATTACTGTCATAGTAAGAAAAGGTTATGGAACTTCCGCATATAATTCTTGCTGGGGGAGGGGGTATTCCATTCCCATAGACCCCTGGGGGTGCCGAATTTATTACAGGGTGAAAATTTTGTCTGGATCACTTTTTAATCAGGCCTGGTTGAAATCGAACTTTTAGTTGGCACAAAAAATTGCATAAATGTCTATCTTCAATAATAACAAATTAAGCGTCCATGGAATTTCACTGGATCTGATTGGTCATTTTGTCAATATCTAAGAAATTTGAAGTTACGAGTTAAAAACAAAAATGAAAATTAAATAGAATAACATTCTGTACATAGCTTCTGCCTTTCACATTCTGCAATGAGATAAAACTTGACGCAATTATTACTAGATGTCCCTAATCTTTCTTAACGTAATCCAATCACAATACAATCTTGCTTTTACTCTTTTTTGAAACATTTTATTTATTTTGATAGTAATGGAATACATGAGCTAGAGTCAGTACAAGTTAATTTCGTTTGCTGTACTCGCTAATTTATTCAGGTCCATATTAAGTGTAGAATATCAATAAACGCTTTTAAAGTGTCAACTTTTCCTACAGGTTCAATCGGGTGGGGGCGCGCATCAAGTCCGAAGCCGATCTGGAAGAGATCATGGACAATTTGCAGGAGCAAGCGCTCGAGGACAAGAAGATGCGAAGTTACGCCGTGATTCCGCCGCTGCTGTTGGACGCGAGGGAGCGCAAGATAACCTACAAGAACAACAACGGACACATAGTGGATATGGAGGTGGAGTATAAAAGCAGGCAGTTTTTAAATGTATGGACGCCAAGTGAGAAAGAAATTTTTAAAGAGAAATATTTACAACATCCGAAAAATTTCGGTGTAATAGCCTCGTATTTAGATAGAAAATCGGTAGCGGACTGTGTCCAATATTATTATTTAAGTAAAAAGACGGAAAATTTTAAACAGTTGTTAAGAAAGTCGAGACAACGGACGCGATCGTCTAGGAATAACACGCAAAAGGTTAATAATAGTGCGAGTACGTCCGTTGTCGATATCTTAACGACCGGTGTAACTACAAGACTGCAAAGGGAGCAACAGAAGACGACCGTACAGCAGAACAGGGACGTTTTAGACTCTCTCCCGTGCGCGGCGCCCGCGATTACAACTCCGACGACCACGACCACCGAGCCGGGTAGCCCGCCGGCGGTCGTCTCGTCGAGCATGTCACCTCCTCTGGTCTCGTCGAGTACGACTCCCACACTAGTGACGGTAACGACAACTACGTCATCCAATCTCAATGTGAGTACGGCTGTGAATGTACCTGGTACGACGACGTCCCCCAAACCGCCCGACACCGCGCCGGCCAGTGGCGACACCCCGAAACCGTTTAGTGACTTTAACTTATTCGAGGACGCCAAAAAGGCGCCCAGCGAGCCGGCCGACGGCAACGTCGAGGCGCCAACGCCGCCGGTACAGGGAATCATTAGTATTAAAAAGGAGATCGAGCTGCTCGAGGAGAACAACATTAGGTAAGTGCCTCTACTGACATCAAAAAGCCGCCTCCCATTTTAAATTAATAACTCGACGACGACTGCAAACACGATTTGCATTACAATCTGATTGAGTGGTTTTCGAGTCTCTTGAGAGTTCCCTATTACCGCTGACTGCACAATTATTGGGCAAACATTCGCCCGCCGATCAATTTTGTAAATGAATCCGAATTCCTAAAATTAATTTTATTACGCTTCTCTTTTTGCAGTGATCATAGTTTAACGTCGACGGAAACGAAAAAGAAAAAGGAGAGGAGAAAAGATAAGGAGAATGTCGCGACCGAGTCGAGCGAGGACGAAACTTTGGACGCGCAAGGTAAGAATGTTAATGTATATCCATTGAGAAGAATTTCGACAAATGCATTTTAAGTTTTTTTAGCTTTTTTGAAAGTTTTGGTATATGCAGTCATTCAAAAAACAAAAAATGTTAATTTGTTGTAACAAGAATTGGTAAAATTGTCTTAAGATAACTTAGCCAAAAGTGAGCAAAACCATTCTTGGCATTTTCCCACCTGTTTGGTTCACTCGATCTCTAAAATTGAGGACCTGTAGGTTACTTCTGGGGTAATAATTAATAGGCGGCTATGGAGACTATTTCCCTGGAATTCGTTCCAGATACGGGTGGGGCTAAATTAAGTAACCTTGGCACACTTAGATTAGATCCATATAGCAGCAGCACACAGATCTTTAAAAAGTACTAAAGGAAGGGGTGGGGGGGAGTATACGCGCCACACCCTCTTCTACATTTTCTAAAAATTATGTTAAAGCCACAGTAGTTCAAAACCACCAAGCACAGAAGGACTTTATAACCTTCTCTCTATAAACCTCAGTCTGCCGTTTACTGGGGATACTCTAACCCCCCCCCCCCTCCCTCCCTCCCCAGACCCCCGGTAATACTAGTCTTCAAGACTCACTTGACAGTTGTTGAGGATCAATTGTCAGATCCTTTTCTCTGCAGTGCAAAGGACATAACACTGCGGAAGCCTGGGGGTGTGGAATATCCCCCAAGAATGGATGACCATTTCGGAAAAAATATGTTAAAAGCGGCGGCAGTTCAAAACTATCCAGCACAGAGGAACTTGATAACCTTTTCCCTTCAAACCTCAGTCTACCGTTTACTGGGGGGTATTCCATACACACCCCCCTCCCCTAACCTCCGGTATACCTTCTTTCATAAACCGTTTAGGCTGCAGGACTCGGTTGGCAGTTGTTGGAGAACCCTTGTCAGATCTTTTTTTTTACAGTGCAATAGACGTAGCATTGGGGGGTGGGGGTGTTCAATACCCCCCAGGAACGGGTGTCCATTTCGGGAAAATTATTTTACAAGCGGCGGGAGTTAAAAACCACCCAGCACAGAAGGACTTGATAGCCCTTCCCCCTAGGGGGAAACAAGTACCATTTTTGGTGTACACCAAGAATTAAAATTCAAATTAATTCACGTTAATTCACATTAATTCACGTTAATTCAAATTAATTCACGTTAGCTCAAATTAATTCGCGTTAATTCAAATTAATTCACATTAATTCAAATTAATTCAGATTAATTCACGTTAATTCAAATTAATTCACGTTCATTCATAATAATTCACGTTAATTCAAATTAATTCCCCATTAATTCAAATTAATTCAAAGGGGTGTACACCAAAAATTCAAAGTTTCCCCCTAGCCTTCCTCTACATACCTCAGTCTGCCGTTTACTGGGGGGTATTCTGGTAATACCTTCTTTCAAAAACTGTTTAGGCTTCAGGACTCGCTTGAAAGTTGTTGGGGGGAAGCATTATCAGATCCCTTTCTCCACAGTGCAGAGGACGTAGCACGGAGGGGTCTGGGGGTTATATTTGCCGTTTACTAGGGGGTATTCCTTACCATTTTGGAAATACTTTATAAAATGTTTCAAAAATGCTTCGGCAATATTGGAAGTTTGTGCAAGATTTTGGATATATTGGCAGAATTTTTAAAGAATTTTGGAAATGTGTTTAAAAAATGCAGAAAAATTTGAAAATGTTTCTAGAATGTTTAAATAATTTTGGAAAGTAAAATATTTCAAAAATGCTGGGAAATATAGGAAATATAAACATTGGAAATTTATGCGAAATTATAGAAATATTGGCATACCTAATTTTTAAATTTTTCGCTGACATACCTGGGAATATCAAAAAAATTGTCAATTTACAATGACCCTGTACTTTCTTAGTTAAACGAGACAGAAAAATATGTTTCTTTATACTGACTGTTGAATAATCTGCCGTTTTCAGAATAAGTATCGAGCGTCAGGTAAAAAAGTTAACGGATCTAACCTCATTTTTTTAAATGCAACAAAAAAAAAGATTTTTTTGAATAACTTCAATTTTTTTTGAATTTTTAAAAATTCTTTTTTGAAAATTTGTTGAATCTGTTTTGAATCAAGGAAACTTTTTAGAATAGTACGAAATTTATTTGGAACTTTTTGAATCCTTTCGGCTCCTTCATATTTCTATGATTTCTCAGTTTCTTCGATTTCGTCCAATTTTTCCGATTCTATGCACTACTTGGCACTTGCAATTGATTCTTGATGCGAATTCTATTCGTTGCGTTCTCTGGACCCTTCAAATCATTAATTTTTAAATTGTTCCAATCATAGAATTTTTTGAAATTTTATTTTGTTTAAAAAAACCGTTGAATCATAAAAGGTGGAGAGGCGAAATCTTTCCGCGCTCTGCCAGTATCATGAAATCATTTTTGGGCGGTTTAGTAGAATCATAGAATTTTTTTAATTTAAACTTATTTGAATCAGAATTTTTTGAAATATTTTTAAATGATAATCCATTTTTTATTATTTCAATTATGATTTGTTGTTTTTATTTTGTTTAAAAAAATGTTGAATCATAGAAGGTGTGGGGTGCAATCTTTCTGTATTCTGCTAGTATCATGGAATCATCTTAGGGTGGTTTTTTTGAAATATTTTTGAAACAAAATCCACTTTAATGTTTTAATTAAGATTTTTTGTTTTTTTTTGTTTTAAAAAATTGGTGATTCATATAAAAGTTGGAGAGGTGCAATATTTCTGTATTCTTCTAGTACCCTGGAATCATTTTTGCGTGGTTAGTAGAATTATCTTAGAATTTTTTGAATTTAAACTTATTTGAATCATAGAATTTTTTGAAATATCATAATTCATTTCTTTTAACATTTTAATTATGACTTTTTGTTTTTATTTTGTTTTAAAAAAACGTTGAATCAAAATGTGGAGAGGTGAAATCTTTCTGTACTCTGCCAGTATCATGGAATCATTTTTGGGTGGTTTAGTAGAATCATAAAATTTTTTTAATTCAAACTTATTTGAATTAGAATTTTTTGAAATATTTTTAAATGATAATCCATTTGTTATTATTTCAATTATGATTTTTTGTTTTTATTTTGTTTAAAAAAATATGTTGGTCCATTTGAAAGGTATCGTGGAATCATCTTATAATTTTTTTAATTTTAATTTATTTGAATCAGAATTTTTTGATATATTCTTGAATCAAAATCCATTTTTTAATATTTTAATTATGATTTTTTGTTTTTATTTTGTTTAAAAAAAAATTTTCATATAAAAGGTGGAGAGGTGCAATCTTTCTGTATTCTGCTAGTATCGTGGAATCATCTTTGGGTGGTTAGTAGAATCATCTTAGAATTTTTTGAATTTAAACTTATTTCTTGAAATATTTTTGAATCAAAATCCATTTTTTAATATTTTAATTATGATTTTTAGATTTATTTTGTTTAAAAAATTGTTGATTCGTATAAAAGGAGAGGTGGCTATTTCAAGAATATTTTCAAAAAATTTATGCTTGAAGATTTGAAAACAAAAATTTACGAAATCACTTAAATTTTATGCATTTATTGTGACTTTTCTTGTTTTTGAAATTTTCAAAAAGTTGTGTAAGTAAGTAGTAATGAACACCAAATTTGGAAACATTTATTCGGAGATTTTTTTTATTTAAAAATAAGCTACATGTAAGATTAGGTGTTATTGCCGACCTCGATTTCGCTCCCCTCGCTAGCCTTCGCCTCGTCGCTCTCGCCCTTCGTCTCGTTACTCTCGTTGCCTTCGGCGAGCTCGTCGGCGTGACACATCTTCCGATGCTTGTGCACGAAATAGTAGCTGGGAAATTTCGAGCCGCACGTCTTGCACGGGTAGTACTGGACGTTCATGTCGAGCAGCTTCACTTCGCGCTTGCTGCTGATGATGTTCTCGACCTTCTGTATCGTCTTCACCTCGAGACTGACCGGGTTGAGGTGGCGGCGCGCGTGCTTCTGGTAGCAGTACTGCGACTTAAACGTGTGATTGCAGTAGACGCACGTGAAGAGCTCGCTCGACGAGTTCTCGTTCTGTTTGTCGCGAATGTTCTCGTTCATCACCTTGTTCAGGATGAGGTTACGGTCGATTGTCTCGACGAGATCGTAGGGGGCGCTGTCGACGTTCTTCAGGCCGTAGTTCTTGTTGAGGACGCGATGAAAACGGACGGGACCGTCGCAGCAGGCGATGTCGAGGACGACCTTGTCGGCGCCGGGCGGGTCGTCGCGTCGCTTCGTCTTGGGCGGCGGTCGCTTCGGCTCGAGCTCGGGCGCGCGGTCCTCGATCGAGCCGGAGGTGACCGTGTGCTCGCGCGCGATCTCACGGAAGGGGGTCACGTCGGATTTCGGCAGGCTGCCGTAGAGCGGCGCGTATATTTGGGGGTGAGGTAGCGCCGACTTTCGGCTCGGTATCGGCTTCACCACGCTCGGACTGCAGGGGCTGTTGTGTATTAGGAAGTTTCGGCTGATCTCGAGCGCGTGGGGCATGTGCAGGATGTGCGTGGCGAGGAGGATGTTGTAGATGTTCCCGAAGTTTAGGTCTAAGTAGCCGGTGTACATGAAGGTGAGTAGCGATGAGAATTCGTCGACGTTTATGTTTGGTACCGGTATCGGATTGGCACCTTTAAATAATTAAATGCTGTGAATTGCAGACAATACAATTTCAGTAAAATTCGTGCAATCAATATAAATGAAACAGTCTTTAAAGCACGACGACGGAGGCGCCCTCTTGGTGCAGTCGAGTGAAAGCTCGCTCCCTGGTTCGAATCCGGACTCTGGCACGGATATTACTTAATGTATAGTGGGCTGGGTCCTAACAAAATGAAACAAAAAATCCATACAGATTAATGACATCTTTTTTAATATTAAAATTGAGGTTATGTTTACCAACAAAAATACGAGAGCTTACTGCGTTCATTTGGGCATGCGCATTTTGTGCAAGTTTGCTATAAATTGCAAATTTAAACCTACAAACAACCTAATCCTACTCCCCTGAAT